CGATATTTTAATTTTTCAATCATTTTTTTACTTCCTGGAAAAGTCACCAACTGCTGCCTTGTTTGGATGAGGATATGCCACGATGAAATGGCAGCTGATCAAAAAAAAGTATGAATTTTCATGCAGTTGCGTTTATACAAGTGAAAATACGTGTAGCGAGGCTATCATTTGTGTGTTGGTGTTTTTGTATGTTTTTTGATTTATTGCATTTATATATGTGTATGTACGTGGATGTTTTAACTGCAGAATTTAGAAACTTGAAATTCTCAAATTTTGAATTCAGCCAGTTCCGTAAATAGAAAGCTACGACTTAGAAGTCTTATGGTTTTAGTCTTCCATTTAGGGAATTTATAAATGCCTTAAAATCATAAAAGAAAAATGGTAACGGAATCAACAATAAACCACCATGTAAAAATGGCTAAAAATCAAGGTTTTAACTTTAATCTCTCTTTATCTATGAACACTCTTCTAGATATTGCCTGATTTCAAATATACAACAAATAAACACGAAATTTTGGTGGTTTAGTGTTAATTCTGTTACAGGGCCACTGTTGTATGCACTGATCCATTCACCAGATAAGTAGGCAGTAGTTTTTTGCTGAAAAAAGCAAAATCATCCCATGTCGCTGGTGCGCATCGTTTTGAAAGTTTTTTTTTTTGTTACGTTGAGCTGTTCAGGTGTTGAACTATGCAAGGCTTTATGGTGCTGGTGTAGCGCATGCGGCTGATTTCCTGAAGCAGTCTGGCATGAACGCAAAGAAGGCAGCAAGTGTTAGCGACAAACTTTTTGCCACAACTAAAGGAAAAAAGCTCAAGTAATCTTTCTTGGATTTGCTGTAGACCCAGAGAGAGGCGTTTTTCTGGAATTTTGATTTCCAGTCATTTATTCCGCTTATTTTACCGCCCTAGTTTTGAATGAAAAACAGGGCATCCCTTTAATTTGAAAGAATTTATGATCTCTTATTTTTCTGCGTATCTGAAACATTGGTGCGTTAAGGAGTTGCCAACAAAATCGCTAATTTTTTGGAAAAATGATAATAAAGTGCAATTCCGTAGTGCTAGAGGGTTCATCCCAGTTTTGCTGGTGCGCTAACAGCATCGCCAGTTTTGGGAAAATGTGTTAATGAGCGGAATTCAACTCTAACATTTTCAATCACCTAATTTTTAATTGCGTGAAACTGTTTATATGTGTATGCACACTTCTGCGCCTGTATCTGTGGAGTTTCAAAACTGAAGCGTTGCATTTGGTCACTTTTTTTTTCAGTTTTTTGAAATTGAACGAAAATTACAATGATTATTTTCGTTGGTTTCTGGACAACGTATGTGCGCCAGCATTAAAATCTTACTATGTATATGCGAATGGCAGTTATTTTTTGCCCGAATATCGCATCCGACGAGGGTTTGTTCCGTTCATTTGA